ATCAAGCACACTGAAGTGTAGGTGAGGGAATGAGACGAGGAGGAAGAAGAAGGCAAGCAAAGCAAGCGAAAAAACAGCTTACAATGTTGCAATGAATATTACTTTACTTTACAAAATACCCCACAATTGTTAATTAAATATTATTTTCTGCATTGCTTTTGTTGTTGTTATTATTATTTTTTTTGCTAAAATTCAATAAGCAGATTACAGTTAAACGGCGAATATTGGACGTAAAACGAAGTGGCTAATTTCTGTTGTTTTTTTTTCTTGTGGCATCATGGTCAAAAGTAGCCAATATCAGGCTAAATGAGAAAATTAAACGCGGGGGAAAAACAAAACAAAACAAAACAAAAAACTCAAAAATAGCAAAATCACAAAGTAAAGCTAAACAAAGCAGCTGAAACATAATAATGCAGCAACAATATCAATAACGTCTACTCATCCTCAACGCCAACGTCAACGGCAATGTTGCTACTGCGTTGTTGATGATGATAGTTAATCAATGAACTTATTGTTGAGCGCCATACTTTTTGCTTTTACTTTCGCTTAATTTAATTTATTTTGTTTTATTTCGGATTTTTAATTCCTCATTTCTTTGTCTATTACATAAGCATGTAGGCCATTCGGTTACGGTTAATAAATAATGGAAATGGATTTGGGTATGCCTGCTTAAAGACCCATACGCTGCGCTGGGTAATCCGGTTATCTTATCACATATATGTATATGTTTATAATAATTTCAATTTCAACCAAAGTTATGCGTCAAATTGTGGTTGTCATGGAGATGATTTATAAGAATATTGCCCGAATTCTTAAAGGGTTCCCATACGAACTAAAATATAAAAATTTGTGAACGATTGATTTGTCACTTGGCTTCTCGAGTACGACTACATAAAATTCAATCAAATTCATAAATATTATGTACGTATTTTGGGTATCATGTGAATAGTAAATGTTAAGTTTTACTGATTTCCAATGAGGGACGCCCTCTCTCCTCTTGCCACCAAAGAGGTCATCACTTATCTTATACATAGATAAAAATAAATGTGTTAATGCTCATAACTTGAGAACGGCATTATAAACGACATATTTAAGTTTTCGTTTAGAAAAGTGCGTGACATCTTTATTTTTTTGTAAACATATTAGGTGTAGTAAACAGAAATCCCTTAATTCTGAATGAAATTGAAGGCCTTAATTTTTATTTTCCATATCCAGCCTTGTTCATATGGTTTTTTGTGCAATCTTTAGCTCTTGGACAATAATAGTGGTTAATGACGATCAGACTCGACAATGTCCCTGATTTTATCGACATTGGCCTTCTACTCCGTGAAGCATCTTTTACATCAAAATGACTGGAATGAAACCGAAATTGTGCATGGTTGACTGTAACAGTATCAGAACCGTATACACTATTCACATTTTCAGCCGTGTGGCTTGCGTTTTCGCCCTTATCAAAGAAAAACAGTAAAATATGCGGATTTTCTCTTTGATAGTGTCCATCCTTGCCGCATGCTCAAACAAAACTGAATCAACCAATCACAAAACAGTCAGAAAAGCTTTTTTAGTACGAAATGTCATCTTTCTAAATCCATCTAGCGGAACTCGAATAATGCCATCTATTGGAAAAATAATGAATTTTTTTACAGCTAATATTTATAATAACGTCCCGTTTTAGTTGTTAATTGCAACTCGAGAGAGAAATTTATAAAGGATATTTCGAAAGCCGATGTTTGATGTTATTCCGATTTGGGAAATGGGGGCGTGGTAACTACATATACATATATACAAATAATCAATTCGCGTGTTTCTGACTAAAATCCTCATAAACGACTCGACGCTTTGAATAGAATTTTGTGTAAATGTTCAAGAGAAGTCAATAGTGGTTAATTTGAGACTTAATAGAGCTGCCACCTGTTTTGAAATTAACCTATATAGCATATAAAGTCACCTGCAAGTGTGTCTACGACTAAACTCAAGTTAAATTAGCCATTTAACCGAGTTTGTAAAAAGGGTTGGTTACGTTGAAGTGTGTTCAAATATGATTTAGATTTACAATTCTCCGAGCTACCACTTGTTCTAAAATTTCACTTGAAACTAAAGTGATAAAATGAATTATCACAATAAGGGAAGGGAACTGTAGAGATTAAACAAAGGGTTAATGGCAAATATATTATACTGCAACGTTTCGCTGCCGCACATACTCATTAAATGCAAGAAAGATTAATCATGGAATACATTTTTATCATATTATGTTATGCTCAATATTTGTGTGGAATACAACGTTTTTGGTTTTACCATTGATATTGGTCCGCTTTCCGGGGAGAGGAATATTATGACTTTTTGAATAGGCCAGTTCCCGTTCCAATTACCGGAGGGAAGAGTAGTTTTCCTGCTGTTAATCTCAACAAAAGGCTACCGAATTTCAAGTAATTCGAGCCATAAGTCCTTGGTCCACTTCCTGAAAAATCTTTGTCGAAAAAACTTCCCCTGGAATCATAGAAATAATCTGAGAAAAGTTCAAGGCCCATCGGTGGGTACCTTTTAGAGTTTTTTGAATGGGTCCACTTCCCGAACCTTCTTTTCTTGTAAACCTTCCCAGAAACCATATAAATAATGTGGCAAAATTTTCCGGCAATCGGTGGGTATCTATTAGGGAGTTTTAGAGATTACTGGATTTTTCCAAACGGACATATGTTATTTATATATAATTTATATACAAGTATAGAAATATAATTTTTATCAGCCTTGCCCCCCGTTTAAAAATTTTAATATGCAAAATACAGAATTTTTAAAATACATTATACGCATGGATTAAAAAGGCCAATGGTGGAGAGTTTTTTTAGGAGAGTTGCCACCGGTTTCCGTATAAATTGTAGGAGCCTCCATTTATTGGAATAACATCAAGACGCATACCACAAATCGGGGGAAGAGCTCGGCTGAAGATCGCTTGTGGTTGCAAAACGCCAATTATTATACATGTACTATATATGTATGCCACTTGTTCGTTTAATATTTAATACACCGAAATTGGTAGATAAGATAAAAGTATTTAGAAGACTAACGAGAATTTTTAGAACTAATAGTGGAAAAAGATCGACTTCACATATTAAATTTAAAACATGGGCAAGGAGAATTTATAAAAGGAGAAGTTGCCACATCATTTAATTACTTGTTCTTCCTTCCTTTACACAAACAAAAGACATAGGCTTTTGCATCTCACGTAAATTTAAGTATTGGACTTCTTTAAGATTTGAGTCTTTTATTAAAATTCATTTGGCAAAAATGCACTCTCAGCTCTTGCGACTTTAAAAGGGCAGAGTCCTGCTATTTGAATAACGAGTTCTCTCACCCGTCTGTTCGGTACCAGTAGCTAGAAATTTAACTAGCACGAATTTGAACATTTCGTGATTTTTCTAGTAAATTCAGAGAATTGTATGGCTTGTACTGCAAACACGAGATATATGTATAAGATCTGTCAGCTAAGATAATTCAAGCAAAACTAAACGCGATAACGAAAGTCGCTTCCTGGTTGCTCATTTCTAATACGAAATAGTCTGACCAGGCTGTCATTGAGTCCCTCCAATGCACTTTAAAGATGGCAATAAGACACACGAAAATTTTAAACAAACAATCAACTCTATGCGAGACGTCTGTGGATTAGGAGGAAGCCGTGGAACATTACCTCTGCCACTACCCAGCTTTCAGCGCATTCCGTTCTCGTTTTTTTTTGGGAATTTCTTCTTCTATTACCTTGTGGAGCTTGCTAATATCGTGTGTGAATTTGCCTTTGAATATCTATGGATTACTATTTCCTTTTAATCAAGTTGAAAGCGATCTGTTTCTTAATGCCAAGATTACTAGAGTTGAAAGTTATAAAAAAAACCCAACGTTCTTTCGAATGCCAAAGTTTGGTCCATCTTACTCAAAGAAGAGGTCTGACGAAATAATGTGTTTCCAATATGATTTCACCTTCAAAAAGTCGATTATTCAATTGTTTTATTAATTTTTACAACATCTCGAGAATATTATCCTAAATATTTAAGTCCATACGGATATAAGTTTCGGGTATACAGCCTTGGAAAGGTGTGTGCTGAAAGGCTGGTAGGTTCAGCGCTTTAAACTTTAAGCGCATTTTGCTAGCAACTATGTTTTCAACAGGTGTGCGATATGCAATTCACGAGGTTTTGGACAACGGATTTTCTTTCAACTACAATGATTAAAAAAGATTTGTACCAACCTTTACCAAAATTTTATTAATTTTTTCACATCGTTCGTTTAAATTCTAGTTGTGGTATTGATTCAAACATCATTTTTTTCATTTCAGCTGATCCTGTTACGATTTCTACTGTCAACGCAGACGCAGCTTTTTTCATGGGCTCACAGGAAATGACGTTTGATTATTATATACATATTATATATATATATATATAACTTAATTGTTGATAATAGATAATTTTTTTCTGAATAATCCCATACAACCCCTTAAGGCGGGCAATGCTAAAGAGAGTATTTCTGTTTTTACAAACAATCCGAGTGTACTCCAACGCCCTCAATAGAGTACTACAATTTCGCTTAGAGCTTGTTCTCCTTAAAATAGTATTCCAATCAAGAAATAACTTTTGTTACTCTGCCAGCTTTGGCGCTTTAGTTATTCAAGTTTTTAAATCACAAATCAAAAAAACATTTATTTGTATAATTTTTTTTCATATATATTTGTATGCATGCTTATAATAAAAAACTTTCTAAATGTTAAGTCATAAGCCAAAAGTAATATGTGTTAACATTGTAACAAAAACAAAACACGTAAAATTAAATTAACAAATCACACAATGAAATTCAATAATTTAGAAATCAATTTATTGTTGTAATAAAGATTGCTTCCGTTTATTACAACTCTAGTTTCTTTTCTCTGAAATTCAAAATTCCCAGTCGCTTGACATTCATACGATGTCATTTCGGTGAGTTTCTTTTGTACCTTGAGTATTCAGTATTCAGCTTGAGAGTTTCACATACGCATGTAAATATGTATAAATAATTTAAATGGGCGTGCATATATTATTTACTTAATTGGTTTTATACAATGATGTAATTCTGTTTAATACAAGTTATAAAACTACTATTGAAGAGCGACCAAAGCAACGTTGGCCAAACCGCACACAAACGACCTTGATTAGTCTCGCTTTCATGCTATGCGATATTGTTGTGTTTTGTAGGTACGTACACGTATGTAAGAGTGTGTGTGTTACCATTGGCGTATAAAGTTGCTCTCTCGGCAGATTTAGTTTCTTTTTTAATGGTTTCTTCTTGCATAGTAAATTGCGGTATACACGACCTTTAGTTATTGTCCAATGGGATGCGCAGCATGAATGAAGCTCCAGTCGCCAATCTTCGGGCTTTTGTATCTATTTTTACAATTCGTCTTGGAATTGCGGTCATAGTGTCAATGTTAATTTAAAATTTATGCAAATTTCTGTAATTTTTAAACATATTTTTTTTTAGAAGATGACGAATGGGTGTTAACGAATTGTTGGCGTTTGCGATTTTTCTTCAAACAAAGACCTACCAACATTTCGTATTCGGAATATTTATATAAATGCATATATATGTTAATTACAACTGGAAAGTTGTCCATTGGGAATATGGTGTTTAGAATAAAACAAACAAACTGCAATACAATATCATTGATTTATTATGTAATAAAGATATTTTTGGAACAAAGGCGGTATACAGTTTGCCATCAACAAGATCATTTGGTAATAATTGCGGTTTTAAGCTCATCTATACTGTCAAATTGACGATTATTTGCACAAACCCTGTTCACGTTCTCTATGAGATTAAAGTCCGGAGAGGAAGCAATCGCAGCAATCGGTAAAAAATCAGCTCTTTCATTACTTACATGAATGCGAGCATCCCGCTGATGCTTGAATTAAAGGAAGGAGGCTATTTCCAACACTTGATTGTAGCCTCTGCCATTCATTCGAAGTTAAAAGCTTTTAAGGCCATCCAAGTTTCATTTTTTTCGTCAGAGAAGATAACCTTTAACACAAAAAGAGTCAAATAGTTGAGCTTTATCATCAGCAACAAAAACTTATTGTGTCCCAATTGGAGTATATGTATTCTTCTGCGAATTGTTTTTATCAATTTCGATAAATTCAAATGCTTGAAGCGATCAGGGTACACTTAATAGTGGTTTTTGACAAATTATCTAGCACAGCTGTCACAAAACTACTGCATGATTTGGCAAGTTTCGAACAAACCCTGGTAAGTTTCGGCAGATTTCTACCGACTGGCTTGAAAACATTACAATTCCCTGGGCTCAGTGAAGAATGTCAATATTTTGCCACAATCCTCCATTGATAATATTTTACCTCGAGGCACCTTGTTAGCAATTTGTTTACTCTTGAAAAAAAATTTTGGTTGTCGCAGTTGGCTCTTTAAGAGCTAACATGGAACAAATAAAAGTACACTGCGCAACAACCGATTGGCACACCCTATCCTGCTCGTCTTAGAAACTTAAAAAAGCTTTTCAAATATTTTTTTCCCCTTAAAATAATATATATAATATAATTTCACACGAAAATTAATAGAAGATAGGATACTAACCTTATTAATAACATTTTAAATTAATGTAAACAAACATAACATACAAAATTCACTATAATTTTTACGACAGCCGATTAGCACAGTCACTTGAAAACTTAAAATAAAAAAAGAAAATGGATTCAAACTTCATTCAAATTGTTTTTTAATATTAATTTAAATATTTTTAACTTTTTTTGAAAACAAATTAAGAATATGTTGACCCTACACGGTTAAGTATGACTTCGGACATCCGCTGAGTTAAGGAGGCATATAATTTTTTTATATAATTGAGTGAAACAGCCTCCCAGTACCTTTTTATTCCTTCAATGAGTTCTGCTTCAGTTGAAAGTATATTAAAGCTCCCCACACTATGACACCACCCGCACAGCTGTGCAAACGATCTAAAGTATGCTCTTCCTTTCTGAGATCATGAAAGTAATAGGCATAGCCGTCAGGACTCTCCAAATTTTTTTCATCTGAAATGACTACACGCTCCCACTCATATTTGATCGACAGAAATTGATTCTTTGCATCTTTCTAAGTTGGTTTTGAGGTGGTTTTTTGTTAATTTTAGATGCTTTATATGATCAGCATTCGAAATAATTCTTTGCACAGTCCGAACGCGCGCTTTAATACCAGTTTTTTCCTTTATTTTGGCGGCTGAGTCGTGGGAATTAGATGCGTGTCGTAGTATGATTCGCTTGTCAGCTGCTGTTATTACTGATGATGGCCGATCTTTCATGTTTTTCCTATATGTATCCTCATTGCTTAAATATACGGTAATAACTTTACGACTGCGCGTAATATTTTTTGATATTTGAAGAATAGAGTGCCCGCACTCCCTGTGAGCCTTTATTTTGCCTTTTTCAGACTCGTCCAACGGTTTTCCTTTGCCCATTATTACTTTATTTTATTGATAATTAGTCCCAATAAATAAATAATAAACTTAAACACCCAATCAAGTGTAAACTGCACGCAAAAAGTGACATGAAAGCGAAGATGTGCTAATCGGCTGTCGCAAAAAACATGCATGCATTTTTGTCGCCCTTCAAAGAAAAATGTAAAGCAATATAACGGTACACTTCCAGAGCTCACAGTTATACTTAGAATGAGCGAAAATGATACAGAATAAAAGGAAAAATAGAATGCGCATGAAACATATTCAGAGTAGGGAGTTATTTTCTTTTAAACTGATAGGTTAGAGAGCGTGCTAATTGGTTGTCGCGCAGTGTACAGCATAATGGTAAAAACTCTATACGGTAGTTTCACTTCGAACTTTTTGACACTAAACGTTTTTGCTCAGAAGTGCTTGCAGAGAACGTATAACATAGAGAAGGTGCAAGTACGGACCAGGGTGGAAATTGTCAAAAAGCACGATTACTTCGTTTCACGTAATCGTACCACACTCCTCACATGATTCGCAAAACTTGCTGTTAATTAAAAGAATTGAGCGTAACAGTATGTTAATTTGTAAACATAATGTAAATTGATAACATTGATAAAAATAAGGAAAATATCGCAAAATTTGCCGACGGCAATTTAATTTTTGCATATGTAGATATGTACGCCTTACTCAATTTAATACGAAATTGAAATATCCTCACTATCGTTTTCAGCAGGTCAATATCTACATTATACTTATAATTCATAGTTGTATTCCTATTAGAACGGAAATTATTTATATAAAATCAACCAAAATTTGATTGGAAGACATATGGAAGGCTGAACTTTCAAACTGCTCTCCTGAAAACTTTGAGAAATAGACTTACGCATGCAATCACATTAGTATATGGAAAAATGCGTTTTTTCTGTTTTAGCTTGGGATTCGCACTTCATCCCTAAAATCTAGAACTTTTGCATTTTGCCCAGCTTACACAGACAACTTGAATTTACTTGCTTCCCAATATGAGCTAATAGGCAAACAGCAAATTTAACAGCACGATGCCGACTTGCTTCAATTCGGCAGACAAAGTCTGAATTTTTGTCAAAGTCGCAAGAATTTGAAGCAATGCTAGTGTATGCCACATACCAATGTAGATTGTTGTTGCTTCACATTTCGGGAAGATGTACGATTTGCTAATTTTTGTTACGGGACTTTNATAATAAGCATGTGAGTATATGTTCACATGTACATGCAAAAGGTCATCTAAAAGAAATTAAAATCATTAACAAATGATACTGTCCTTAAGAAATACACATTTATTAAAAATTGTTAAAATTTTATCAGTAATTAATTGATGATTTCAAATTTGAATTCAATTTGGTCATTTATATGTGATAAAAGTAAATAAAAGCGGCTGTTAATTTACATATGCATAGATTTTAGTTCTCTGTTGTGTTTGAATACGCTCAATTCTGTTAATTTTTCATATCGAGGTGAAACAGAAATTCAAGACGAGAAGGAAATGACGATTACATCAAACGAAATTTTTCTGCCAGAAATGTCAGAAACGCTGGCTTTGCACCTTCTCTATGTTATACGTTCTCTGGTGCTTGATTTTGTCACCTATAAAATATTCAATGCTATAATATTGAATTCACGTATATACATATTGAGTTTATGCAAGTAGCGTAAATTCTTGCATAACTTTGGGCGCTGGCTAATTGCTTCCTGTTATTTGGGTTTTTGCTTTCTATGAGAATGCAATTCTCAAATGATCAGCGAAGTGATACGGCTAAAGTGTTCATTGTTTGCAATGGAGTTTACCTTCGTGAGGTCCAGATCAGATATCTAATTATCTGATCTGTTCAATTTAGTAGAGTGGTATGCGATTGTTGTCTGTGCAGCGTCATGTGCTTCCTATGGCATTGGGTAAAGACCACGTATTTTTGAAACGAGCCTAGTGCTCAACTTGAAAACATTCACACATTCTCCCACACCCGCTTAGACATATTTTAATATTATTTTTAAACCATTTTTCTAAGGCGGCAGAAGTATTTAAAATTTATTATAAATAAAGATGAAAGGGTTGATCTTTTTACTTTTTATCCAAAAGAAAATTTTTTAAATTTTTTTGACTATTTGCGAAACAAACATGGTTTGGCTACTTGGTCATAGAGACAGTCCAGGGAACTGCGTGGTCGATGAGCGGTTAGGAAACATTAATAACAACGGTTAAAACTAGCCTTCAGAAGAGTTAACAGCAGATGGCAGAGTGAAACCACGTGCAATTGATCGAAGCGAACCAAACAGAGTTCGAAAAATTAACTCCATAAACATAATATTCGGCGTATTAACCGAAAACTATGTGGGGGGTTCTCTTGGTAAAAGGATGGGTTGTTTCTCAAACAACTTTTTGACACAGCCCAGCTCTCATTAACAAGGGTTCCAAAATACAATATATGTATATGTGATTTGTACATTTAATCTTAAATTTAAAAAATATGAAAATCCTCCACATATTTTTTCATTTAAAAGTGGTAAATTTTTTTAAGAGAAGAGGGTAGCACGAAAAAGACGAAACATATTTAATGTAAGATATATATGAAGCCGACAGTGAAGAAAGTACCTTTATATTATTGTATCATGTATTGTACAGTATAAGAGTACTATGCAAGAAAAGAATAGCGGTTGTAGAAAAGAAAATAAGCTTTGACGTCAAAAACTCTGTGTCAGAACCAAAGAAATACATTATCCGTAGCTCATATGATGACAAAAAAGAGAATGCAGATTTTTTTTTCTGATTTTAAATTATGTTTACAGTAGAATTTTTAGTGTTTTATGGTTCATGAGTTGAGAATCTTACTTCCCACAAATTTTTTTATTTTGTTTTTGATCGCGATCTTATCGCTGCAAATGCGAATATAAATGGCTGGGATTTTTATTTTCTAGTTTGCATTGTAAACACTATTTTTTATTCGCACATGTATTGTATGTATGTATTGTAGGTATATCTATAAAAATGGTTGTCGGAATCGTAATGCCAGTTGAAGAATTTATAGCTTACAAGCGACCCTCAACTGTGTATTTGGTTTGCCAAAAATTTGTTACAGTAATTCGCAAGTCTTTGAAGACCTTTGAAAAGTTTCATATACACGTACATATGTACATACTTTTGTACTTGGCTTATGCGGTAAATTAA